ATTCAGAAGAGCAAAACTGAAAGATGCCATCTGAGAGGTGCCTGAGGTATAGTACTTGGTAGTGTGTAGGAACTCATTCACATTTAGGATGACATTTACCAAAACATCAGTTAACAGAGATTAGAAAAGTGAAACTAATATTTTTGTTCATTAGGTAGGAATTCACATTATTAAATCCATGTCCATGTTATAATCTGCAAAATATTACTTTCTTGTTGCCACTTATCTCTAGCAAAGAGAAGCGTGCTTAGGATTGATTTGGGACCCACAGTGTCTTCATATGTTATCTTGTTTATGCCTTTGTCTATACTTGGAATTTTTGATTGTGGAAGCAACTGGCATTTTACACTCATGCATCTGAATTGGTGGCTGGTGGTCATTTTTGGTGTATGTAGTGTTCCACTATTCAGGAGATATATTGCTCCTCCATTTCTTTGGAACAGTTTCAAAGCATTCTCTCCAAACTAATCTTCTGGCTTCCAGAATATCCCATTCATAGGCTAGACTGGCAAGTACATTCCTTTCTCATTTATTTGTATTGCCCATTGTTTCATCAGAGAATTTGATATTTATAACTTAATTAGTTTCTGGGAGCACTTTCAGGCAGAACACTCAGCAGAATTTATTAATCTAGTTGCTTTTCTGCAGAACCTTGCACTAGTCTGATATGCTGGTAGTTGTTCTGTTTTACAGAGTAGTTAACGCTCATCGGCTGATCTGGGAGCTCAGAGATCTATCTACCTGATATTACTGGGACATCGTATCATTCCATTTCTGTTCCCCTTTCCCTGCCATTCTTTTGCAGCAGAAGAGAATCAGGAATTCCTTGCATTTTATAGCTGTTAAGTTTATCAACTGACAATATCACTACAAAGTGGCCATGTTATGGTTAATGAATCAGTGCTTTTTCATTCATAAATTCCAGTTAAATTGCCTTACATGTGTATACATTCTTCATATGTTGTTAACACAAGGGTTATAGGCAATTGATTTTTCACTGTGGTCATTGAATTGAAAAAAGGATTATGATAGAGCTCAATTTAAAACCACAGATGTGTGATTTTATGTGTGTGTGTGTGTGTAAACATATATATACACACACACACGCATATATATATATATATATATAAAAAAAATTTCCCCACAAACGTTACCCTTGTGCCTTGTCCCTCCAATCTGTTTTCTATTGAGTGAAATAGTCCTTTTCTTGTGGAAAAGAACTTTCACCTCTGGATGATGGCAAAAAAAGCAAGAAGAGTAAAGGTCTTGGTTCACAACATTGGGAGAGAGGCTAATAAAAACAGAAATAAAGAGAAACCATCTCTAGTTATAATTAGCTTACTATACTTGCACTAGTTTGATTTAGTCACTTTCCTATAGAAATTACAGAAGGGAAATAATTGTTAGAAATAATTCCCTTGTATTTTAACAAGTTACATTTCTTGATAATTGTAATTTAGAATATTAGTGGCGTTCTACACACAGAACAGCTGAAGAAAAGAGAATCATTTGAATGAATAATTTTGGAATGTATGTAGGATATGTCTATGTGTGAAACCTAAACTATTACAGAGGGGGTGAAATTCAGATACAGGTTATTCCTGTGTAATTCCACTTTGGCCATCCTTCTTCTAGAAGTAATGTCTTAGTTCTTGTCTTTTTAAAAGATTAGGTTAGATTAGAACAAACAGTCTGTGAGGGAGGTCTGCGTTAGTTTACAGATGCCCAAGGTGCAGGTGTGGGATAGGCAGTACAGTGAGTGTGTGCTGATGGGAAAGGAGAATATAGCAGCCACACAGCTGCTGCATAGCATGTGCATGGAGTGAATTACGTGATTTTACTGGGAAGAAAAAAAATTTATACCTTCACTTTGATTTACTCAAGAATGACTCTCTAAACTCACCTTCTATAAAGACCTATATTCTCAGGCAATATAAATTGGTATAGTCTCAGATATTTCAAATAAACTGCATTGTTTTGTGCCAAAGAGGATTTGCAGATTTGTTTGATTTGTCTCTCTTTGTGTCAAGAGTTATATTGTCTCTTCTTTCTGCTGTAGAAAAGGAAGCTGCAATCAGACAATCCTAGGCTGGATGACATGGAAATCTTCTGTTCATACAAGGAGATAGTCAGAGGTGGTGGAAGGCCTCAGCATTTTAAAAACAAGCAAACCACCTCCCCCCCAATACAAAATAAACAAACAAAAAACACTTCATAAATGTGAATGACCTGAAATGGTCTGAAAACATTCAGTAATGCAGTATCAGGCTTAAACAGTCACCTGAGGCCATGAGTCTTCGTTCTTTTTAGTAGGACTAGTTACATACATACATATGTACATACATGCTCCTTTCTACTAATACATTAGCTTGAGCCACTTAGTTTTCTGTCGCTCCATTGACCTATGCTCTTTATTCTTCTCACAATTAGAAAATGATTCTGAATTAGTCCTATGAGTCCAGATGACTTCCAGTGCAGCAAAAGAAAATCAGAACAGTTGAGGTTTTTAAATTCAATTATATAATCAGGTTTCATAATACTTTGTTAATACTGAGCTTTTCTTGTGAAGTCTATACCATATATTTTTGCCTGAAAGGGTTCATGACTTTTTTTCTTTCCAAGAATTATCAAACAGTCTTGTTTTAGAAAAAATTCTTCTGTATTTCTGACAGAATCTGCTGTTTCCTACAGTTTCTTGACAAATCTTTCCCCTTTCCCCTCTCAGTGTTCAGGAAATGCTGACAGGTCAGAGGCTTTGTCAGTCCAGTTCCCATAACGATGCTGTCTTGGCAGCCCTGAACCAGCAAAGAAGTGATGGCATACTTTGCGATATCACCCTTATTGCTGAAGAGCAGAAATTCCATGCACATAAAGCAGTCCTGGCAGCCTGCAGTGACTACTTCCGAGTAAGTCCGAAGATGTTTTTCTTTCCTTATAGTAATATTAAAAATTACTCTGGGGGGGCAGGGATGGTTATAGATATCATACTGAACAAGCTTTAAATTTGAGGCTATAGAAAACTCAGGATTGTTGCACAGTCAGTAGAGTATACAACGTTAAATATCCATATACATGTCATAGAAGAGAAATGTTAAGAATTTAATTAAGTTTTTTTTATTGTTACTTATGATTAGTTTTCCTTCCCCCTCATCCCCCAATAGAGATAGGCAGTACACATCTATATATGAATCTTATGCCCAAGTAAGTCAGAAAGTGGAAGATTTTTTTGTAGAACCCAGACATTTGAGACAGTTGTGATTAGAGCATGGAAGGATGGGGAGAGGGAATTTAAATATTAATAAATGCAATTTTAAGTCAGCTCGAGAGTGGATTTTTGTAGGGATGTAAATGGTTATTCTCAAAGAAGAGGCCGTACTAATTTTTTAAGCGTAACAAAACTTATTTTCAGAAACAAGTGTTTCTGAAATGTAAAGATTAAAATATTACTTGGGACATCTGATTCAGGTACTCAGCATGGAGAATTGAACCCAGGTGCTAAAACTGGAGTAATGGGAAAATTGAGTTTTCTAATAAGAAGAGCATTCTTCATATGAAGCAATTCTACTAACCTTCCTTATAATGTGCCTGTTCAAAATGTTGGACTGTCTATAGCTTTTTAGTTGACTCGTGGTTATAAGTGTGGGTCATCCTGTTGTTATTCAGAGACTAAAGCTGAAATTAATTTAAAGGTCTGTCTTCTCTAACAAAGTAAGTTTATTTAATATTTTGCCTACGCTGTAATTGTAGTGCTACGAACATCTTTATGGTGACCTTCTTGTTTTGTTACAATGGTAATACACTGTATGACAACTGTTTTATATCCTTACTTACCTGAGCGGAATTTTTATCTTCCTCTCAACTCTGTCTCTCTCTTTTGGTTAGAATTAAGACTTAATTTATTCTGTGTATTATGAGAAATATTGTTAACACTGATGTTACTTTCACTGTGATGATGTGAGCCAATTGATTGCTCATTTTTTGAGCTTGTCTGCATGTTTATGTGTTCTGCTACTGCAGACTTTGTACTGCTGTAGCTGCTGACGTTGCTTTGTCATGGTGCCCTGGCCTGCTGCAACACGGATTGCTTACCACTTTTTTCCTTTTACCCCAGTACACACAGAGGGATTTTGGAGCTCTCTAGCTCTAGCAAGTGCTATATATACTTCTTGATGATAGATAAACTACAGGGCTGCTGTTCTGGTTTGACTGAAATATTTTAACAAAGATGCCATATCATTCCTCCGCACCTGTGACATACAGTCTTTCCAGAGCTCATTGTACCCTGTGCATAGAAACATTGTAGAGTGGGGAGCTGTACCCAGTGTTCAAGCAGTGTGGTAGAAACAGCTTCTACTTTGGTCACTTACCGATTGATCTTGAGATTTGGGGCACTGTGACTCACCTTGTTATTTCCAGTTGAGTTACTTGGTACTTGCTGGACAGTTTTATTGCAAATTAAAATCTTAATGCCCTATTGAAAAGAAAAAACAGTTTTACAACAGATCAAATTCCTGATTGTTACGTAAATCTTCTCTAGTAAAAAAAATACTGAGAGAATGATCTATGCAGCATTTATAGAATCATAGAATTGTTTAGGTTGGAAAAGACCTTTAAAATCATCTAGTCCAACCATTAACCTAACACTACCAAGTCCACCACTAAACCAGTTAAGGGTAGAATAATAAATTCATGTTTCCTGGCTTGGTGGCTGGATTATTTTTTAATGAAAGTAAAAGCTAGGCATCATTAAGGTTGGAAAGGATCTCCAAGATCATCAGTCCAACCATCAACCCAATACCACCATGCCCACTAAACCATGTCCCAAAGTGCCACATCTACCTGTTTTTTGAACACTTCCAGGGATGGTGACTCCACCACCTCTCTGGGCAGCCTGTTCCAATGCAATTAGTAATTTGATCTGCCTCAAAATTTTTACAATTTGATAGGACATATTCTTCAGACTTTAAGTATCAGCTATAAATATGGAACTTGTGCTTTCTGAAATCAGCCAAACAATTTCTATTATTAATGGACAAAAAACTTCATTAGAAAATTGTGGAATGAGATTTATGTTCTGCAGAAGGTGTCAAAAAAGTTACTGTGTGCTATGTTCCTGATTCTAATAATTTAGAAAAAAGCAAAGGGTGATTTAAAAAGTAATAGTGTTTTGTATTTAAACTGGGATTATTAATGTTTTTATACCTAGGGGGATTTTGCCTAATTCGAGCTACCCAATTATTCATTTTCTAAGATTTAGGAGAATGACGCCAAGCTTCGTTCAGAGTCAGTTAAGAGAAACAGGTATTTTCAGAGGATGATAAAGGGGGATTGTAGTTTTTTTTAGAATGAAATGAATCACTGTCTGGAAGTGCCAGATCTCTCTCCACTGGTCACAAAGACTAGACTCACATGCATCAAACTTGGCTGTTAAAATTACCTGAGATTATTTCTACCCTTTATTTTTTTTCTGGATTTTTTTGGAGTAATTCTTGGAAGAACCTTGGAACCTTGCAGATTTTCTAACCCTGAGGAAGTGATTGCCATGGGAAACTTAACCTTTCACTAATTTTTGTGAGATTTTCCCCCGCCCCCCCCCATAAGCTCAGGACTGCAGTGGACAGGATCCTGGGAACATCAGATGTTGGAGTTGCCTTGAATAAAACTGAGATGACAACAGCATACATCAGTGTGACACAAAGAACTTGCCTACTGTAGCTTCTGGTTTCTGTGGCCTATAGATTTGATTAATATACCAGCCTACCTTCAGCTCTATCTGGGGAGGCTGTCATGCAATTCTTAAGATCTCACAGATTACTCAAGAAATGTGTTCAGTTCTACACAGGGTTCTATCAAAATGAATCAGCATGACTTTCTGTTTGTTTTCTCTTTTTTGCCACTCTTGTAAAACAGCTTGTACAAGCGACTGGATATTTGCTTTCTACAGAGCCCTTTTATGGTTTTCTACATGTTCTGTGTCTACTTCGATTTAGATGGAGCTACTTCTGAAATTGTGTTTTCTTGATGAGAATAACAAGTCAGATGAACAGCATATTTTTTTCAAATTGCCATTTCTTTTACTGCAAAGAAAAGTTTGTTAACACTTTTGAAGGATAACTAAATATGTGTCATATTACAGAGTAAGGGAACTGGAGCCATTGTATGTGGAAGAGTGGAGAAGGTCAAACAGAGGTTGCCTTATCAATTTTTCTTTGAGGTTGTAGTCTGGAGTAGAATCTTCATTTGCTTTTCTAAGACAAGCCAGAGGCATCAGCAAAATACAAAGGGCCAGCCTTCTAGGGTAACAGCTTGCCATCCATTCTTCCAGTTGGTATAGTTAGTCTTGTAGTTCCAGCTGTGCTGAAACATTGGAATTTAAATCCTAAGCATAGCACCTGATTTGGGAATTTGTTACATTTGTACATCAAAATGCTGTGTTTTTTCTTTAAGAAAAAAAAGCCCTTAGGAAATTTTGTAGAAAGACTGCATTAAAAACAGAGTTAAACTGCAAGATATGACACTTAAAGACTAGTGTTTTCAATTTTTCTGTTCAGCATCTCCTGAAGGACCTCTTCTTTCAAAATGAGTTAAAGAATACAGTAGTCAGCTCCATACCCTAAAAGACTCATATAAAGAATAGTATACATACATAGTTTTATGAATTCTTTTTTGAGCAACAAACAGCATTTTAGGCAAACTTTTCCATATGACATGCTGTAATTTGCTATTTGTCTCAGTCTCTTGCAGTGAGATGAGGCGGTTGAGTTAATGAGTATGTGTGCATTGTGATAGCTCTAGCAAGCTAAGTGATTTCCAATTAAAAGATTCTTTTTCTTTTTTTCCCCCTCTGGGAGCAAAATGAAATGTTACTGCATGACTTCATTAGTAGACATTTACAGTGTTGGCAGGTGATTATATAACCTCAAGATTTTCTTGTACTAAATGCATTGGTTTTCCAGTCAGAACAACTCCTTTCTTCTTCCTTATTTTTTATTTGAGTGAGTTCATAGTCACAGGACTTTGATCTTTCTCAAAAAGATGCAAGTTGTCCATGTAATCTGCATGAACAAAATTATATCAATTAACTAGAATAGATTTTAAAATGTCAGTAATATTTAATTTTTTCCACAACGAGCATGTTCAATTCTTAGAAGAATCTTTCTTCTCTGACATGAACTAGGAAGTATTAATTTTACATGCAGACTTTGTACTTATAACTGTCACAGTTGATTCTTAAGCAGTTTATTTTCAGGGTTTTTCTGTGCCATCTTTTCTCCCTGTCGACAGATAATTTCTTCGTGTGTACACAGCATTGTGAATTTTTTGTATTTTGCAATATATTGCATTTTTTCTTGATAAGGTTAGAGAATTAGTTTTTATAAACAAATCCCTGAGGTATGAAAGACTGTGTGATGCAAATACCTTTTGAGGTCGTGTTACATGAATGACAAAGAGGAAAAGGCTCTCCTTAACATGTCTTAAGGATAGGTCTAAGGACCTAGTTCTGAGAAAACAGAATTACCTGCTGCTTTTGCAGTATAATGCGATTTTGTGTTTCAATATTTTACTATTGATGTGTATGTACCAAATGAATGGTATTTTCCTTGCTACTGTACACTGGAAGTGATGTTACTTAGAAATTGTCTTTCCAGATAACATTTAAAAATGTTAGCTGTTTCCATTAGACCAAATCAACTCTATTGTTCTAGTAACATCTACCTCTTTTGTGCCAAAAGAGGCTCTTACCATCACTTTTAGCTTCCCATGTAGGCTGAGAAATACTTCCTCTTCTTACATGTCTAAACTATTCCTGGGATTATTTTAATTTAATTTTTCTCAGTTGGAAATTATGATATATTTGAGAAACGAAACTATTTCATTTGTATTAGTTGCCTAACACAGCTTTGGT